CCCCAAAACCCCAAAACCCCAAAACCCCTAAACATTGAATACTATTAATATTTTCGTAATTCCAAATTAATAATTATGTTATTATAAAGTTATATGATATCAGAATAATAGCTCAACTTTATTCTTCCTCTAAACTTAAATCTGAAATGCGAGCATCTCGAATATGATCATTGATCCTATCCTGTTTCTCCTATTCTGCAATTTTCAGAACTGAAGACTGCTTTTTCCCAGTATCAATAAGTTCTCGCATATCTTCTATCATTGATTAATCTTCACTTTGCCTGATCACACTTATCTTTTCTGAATCTCTGATAGACTGGTCTTAGTCTACTGTTTAGAAATTTGCTTTCAAATAATTCATTTTCTAAGTAAGCGGGAGTCTCCTCTCAATTTAAGGAGTTGCTTAATCTTTAATTCTTAAGAAATCTTGACCCTGGCTATTCATTGAGTTATTAACTTAATCTGGCATTGGACTCTTTAATTCAGAGAAGATAATTTTGTCAGCTTAGTGACCCTATCCCAGATCATTGTTAATTGAATCATATGTTATATCCTCTTTTTAAACCATAATTTTATGCTCTTCAGAATTAACTTTTATCTAATTTTAAGGATTGGTAGCAGCCTAAGTCTTAGGTATTTAGCTTGCCACACCACCAGTTAAAGACATAATATTTCTCAACTCCTTATTCTTAAGCACTGATTTGATAGTTGATTAGAAAGATAACTTTAATTTCTCTTGTCTCAACTTTGCTTGCTATTGCTAAAGCTTCTTTCTTTCAATCTCACTCTTTTCCAGTTCTTTCTTTATCAATGATAGCATTACATCATCATCCATCTTCTTAAGATATTACTCGTCAAGATTACTAAAGGAATCAGATAATTATATTAATTACTTCTTCATTTAAGACTAATCCCTCTAATCTTAATATCCTTTTTTATATTCCTGCTATCTTTTCTTTTTAGTTTCCGCATTTTCTCCCAACACATAAACCCTGTCCCCCTCCTAATCAATTAAGGCGTTTATATATTTACCATGAGAAGACAATTTTTGTCTGGGTTTGTAATAATGTAAGGTTATTAATTTCCTAGTATCAAAGAGTTAGGTTGCCTTTGTATTCCAATGGGAATAATAGGACTTCCTTCATTATTGATACAAGCCTCAAAGAATCCTTTAAAAGTAGTCTTGCCACCTATAGTGCTGTCTATTAGAATCATATTTAGCTTGCAATTTTCCTCTACCTTGGATTCATTCTCTACAGTTCCTCCAAATATAAGTTTATCTAGCACTTCGAAAAGGGTCTCATTAAAGTAGGATTAAGCGATTATAGCATCCAAAATGGAGGAGAAAAATACTGAACCAGAGGCGTACTTGGTATTACAAATAAAAGGCAGGTTAGTGTCCTTCATGCTGTTGTTCTTTTTGTTCAGGTACTTGAGGTTGTTTTCATCAACCAATTCTCTAAAATATTAATAAAATCCAGTCTATTTACAAAGTATATTGAACATCTGGGAAATGCTCATCAATGATCCTAATTATTTATAGCATTCCGGAGTCTGGATGGTTTGAATTCTGTAGCATCCACGAGAGTAGTATGACATGCCTTGAGTTTTAAATGCCTGTTCTGGCTAACTCATTCTTATCTGAAAATGATGCTTCAAAGTAGACAACATTAGAATATCTATTCTTAATCTTGTTCCATTTTTCCAACTCTAGCTTGTCGCTTACATAGCAAATATAGTTATTTGTGAAATTTCTTAGACATTCTATTAAAGTTGGCATTGCTTCAATGTCACCAAATATGAGTATGTGATCTTTCAAGTAAGATAAGTCATCTCTCCACATTAGGAAATGATCATCTGTCTTGTGTAATGGCTCTGGGTTCCTGAAGTCAAAATTTTTGATAAACTGTAGATCTTTCAGTTCATTTAATTATTGACCACTGATTTCTCTATCATATGGATCCAAGTCTTTGCCATCATCCTCATCAAACCTCTAGGCGTGAGTGAAATCTGTCGCAAGGACTAGAGCTTCATCTCCTTTTTGAATTCTATACTTCACTGGATTAATCAAGATTTCATAGAAATCGAATGGACATCCTATAATAAATAAAAGGTGATAATTTTAGATTACTTGGCTTCTTTCTCCTAATTCCAAAAATTAGTATTCCCTTGCCGTTGAATCCAATTTTAACAACGAATTCAAATATCTGATTCACATATTTGCTTGGAATTTTTATCTAAATTGACTTAATCAATATTTAAGACTTACGCAATAGATTTCATGTTCTAAGCCATGAGTGTACTCAACCAGCCAGAGACCATTTTTATTAGAACTCGAAATCTTTCCAGAACTCCTCAATAGGTTCAGAATAATTGGACAGAATCCAGGATTATAGGCATTAGCTGCAATGATACCTAGTTTGAATTCATCAATGCTATAGACATTATCCCAGTTGCACCAAGAATGAATTAGATAGTCTTTGTTGATAAGTTAGACATTGATCTGCATATTCTTGTTGAACTCCCTCATCATCTTTGAAGCTAGGACAGAAAATGAATCAGCTTTGATTGAATGGTTGTCATACTGATTCGATAGAATGAACGCTGCCTCTGCATTTAATATGTCGGCTTTCTGCAGTGTCTGTTCATTGAATATACTCCCAACAATCAAGTAGGTCTGCTCTTCATACATTGCTATCACTTGCTGCACATCATTTGAAGGCTTGTCCTTGCTGACTATGACCACTTTCATATTCTCTGCCAAGTCATGATCCTTGTGGAAGAACTCCGTTAAAAACCTAAGCAGCTTTAGGTCATTAAAAGATTAAGCTGTGAGTATGACATGTCTATTTGACTTTCTTTTAAAAGGCTTGCTGTAGTTGTTTCCTTGCTTGATCAAATCTGAAATTTCTGATGTTTGCATTGTGAAGAACACAACTGCAGCAATGAAAAACAGGCCAATACATATTCTGGAAAGAGTAGAATTAGGAACTACATCGCCGTAACCTACTGTGGTAATTGTGATGAGCACAAAGTAAAGCGCTATGTCAAAGGTAAGGTCCTGCCCAGTTGAGATGTAAATGGCAAAAGTATCTGGGAAATTTTTGTTAAGAGTAAAGATAACAGAAGCCGAGATGAATACTAGAGCTAAGAATTGAATGAAAATTGTGAACAGCTTTCTCTTCACATCTACAGGATCAGTGTTTGATATTGATTTTATGTCATTCGTGTTTATTTTCTGAAGTGCAATAAAGTTAAAAGAATTCTTACCCTAAGGATTTTGTAAATTCTAAAGAATCTCAAAAATCTAACGAATCTCCAGATTCTTGCGAACGACAAATTAGCCACTTAGCTTTCAATAAATTGCTCTATGATAATTGGAATGACTGTCATCACATCTATTATGTTTAGAATATTTAGGAAGTATTTCTTTTTCGAAGGAGCAAGGAATAATCCATTTACTAAATCCAACAATATCAAAATAGCTGTAGAGAACTCTATTTGGTTGAACCTTTTGACAATGATATGAACATTATAATAATCTTACGTTGGATCATCTGTATCAGAACTCATGTATAGCGATACTATATACACAGCACAAGCATAAATGCTAATCAGAGACTAGCAAACTACAGAAATGAATTCATATATCAAGTAGAATGTGACTCGTCTCTTATTTTTAGAAGCAAATTTCTTTTTTCTCTCGCCTATTAAAATGTATTAAGATAACATAATTATTTCAGACTATTGTTTCTTAAAAGTTCATCTCTAATTTCAATTCATTGAAGCTATATCACTTACTTTATTGATTCGCTATTTGCTTCAATTGTTATGTGTGATCCTAGTTTTTGTCTAAAATTGACCAGTGTTAAATTCAAATCTATACCTATATCCGCATAAGAGGGAGACTTAGTATCTTGATTGAGCATCATTTTTTCAAGTTTCCGCTCCTAGACCTTTTGCCTCAAATACTTCAACATCTTGTTCTTTTTATTGGCTTCTCGAATGTCCTTTTTCAAATTTTATAAAACTAGATTTGTTAATCATATGCTTTTATGCAAATTTCAGTTTATATATATTAAATAACAGGTTTTAACTTACAAAGTTCGTCGTTTAAGAAAAGTTTTGAAGGGGTTTCTGCTTTTGGATTGTTATTTTTACTCACGAAGGAAGAATGAGTGCTTGATCTATTCATAAAAATCACAAATATTTTATTATTTTCGAAGTACTACTCCTATTTAATTTTATTGAAATAATCATTTAATTTAAATTTATTGCTATTCGAGGGGTTTTGGGGTTTTGGGGTTTTGGGG